ATGATATCAGAATTCGACGATCCTGGACTCGTTGGATTCGTCTCGTTGAGCTGCTTGACTCAAATATAAGCATGTCATATTTGGAAACCATTGGTAATCCAAATTGTGGATTGGATTACCAATGGTTTCCAAATATTGTGGATTGAACATTTTGAATGTGCTTCGGGCCTTTGATTTAAACCATTTTGAGCTCGGATTGAGTTGAATTTGGTGTTGTTTGGTTCGTATTTCTGAGAGGCTCAATTCGACTATAAGTTTGCTAAAATCGGAGTTCATATGGTCCCATATTTAATTTTTGAAGCTTCCAACCTAATTTTGCCTCGTATCGGAGTTCAGATGGTCTCATATTTAATTTTTGAAGATTCTGACCTGATTTTGCCTCGAGATTCGTACCTGATTAAGATTATATATATATAATATTGAGGTCTTACATATTCCTTGACTTTACGATCAGATTTCAGATTTGCTCAAAATAACAAAAAATAATAAGATTATGTTGGGAACAATTATGACTGTAAAAGTAATTATAATTTTTTTTTAAACATTACGAACATTTTTCTAATTCATCTTAAAAAAATATACAATAATATTCTTACAACCAACATATTCTTCCAAATATAGAAGCTATTTTCAATAACAAGAATTTTGGAAATTCAATAAAAAATAGTACTTACATAGATATGTGACGGCAAATTGAAAATAAAATGATTAAAATCTGTCCCTGTCGAATCCTAATGAAGCCTATCATAGGAGGATGATCTTCATGTAATGAGGATTGGACAATCTGCATCTTGGTTGTATCAAGATTTGTGCAGATCTTCTAGTTGATCTTGATGTATCGCATATTCTTTGAAATAAATCTCAAGGTCATGACATTAATTCGGCTATCCAAAATAAATGATCATTAGCATCAATCTCAAAGATATCATTTTAGATATATATTTTAGTTTAGATCTCCAATATTACTAATCTTTTTCACCTATAGGTTTAGTGCACTTATGAGTATTAAGGCCACGGCCAATTTAAGTTTTTTTGAGTCAATTTTACCGAATTGGATCAAATGGCTAAACATTGGTCATTGTGTGCCAACTTCAGTTGGGTTTAAGTGAAGTAAATAAGACTTCGTTTGGGACGGTTTTTTTACTGCTTTTTAAAATGAAGTTCTAGTTCAAAATTTTGAATTTTTGTACTAGAACTCCATTTTAAAAAGCACTAAAAAAAGCCGTCCCAAACGAAGCCTAAGACTTCATATAGGCACATATGACCACTAAGGATCAATTTTGAGTTAAGTGAACCAAATGCATATGTTTACTAGGTTTAATTTAACTAGATTTGGTCATGGTAGGTTAAAGGTGCTTAAGTTAGGTTCATATTAACTTTGCTAATCAAAAGGAAGCTTAATTTTGAGTTAAGTGGACCAAATGCACATTGTGGGCTGCTCTTTTATCTTCACCTAATGATATATGGCATGATTGTATTAGATATTGACCATAAGATAGTGCACGGAAGAAGCTTTGGCCTTGTTGGGCAAAGCTTACCCCCTTTGTGAACCGTAGAGACCTTCATATGGTCTTCTAGACCTGTAGTGTATGCCGTCTATTTGTGACATGTGCATCATTTTTTTCCGCATGAATTAGACCTCACTATGATATGTTCTTTGGATTTTAAAATGTTTGCGAAACTATAACAAGTTCCATGTCATCCACTCGTAAAGTTTGCCTACTAGTAACGTTGGGTGTCAATTCACGAACAATTTTGCATATAATACTTGTGATGAGATGTAATGGTGTATTCATTGTGAAAAAATTTTAGCGACGAATCAAAGGTAAATATCAGACGCCCTAAATCTACATATCTATAAATAAAATGGAATGGTGTATCATGCACATCACAATCTACACAACCAACCAATGATAGACATCCTTCATCCTATGATTTAGACTTGAAGATTTTTTATAGAAAGGTCCCTTTAATTGTAGAAAAGAAGACCACAACAAATCCAATACCTAGGATTTGTTTGTCTAGTAAGATTTGGACATTTATCCACATATAGCTTTAAATTGAGCACTTTCCTCAATAACTATATGTTGTAGTAGTTCATCCATCTCTTCCCAAATTAATTTCTTAATTATCTTCTATTCTAACTCAATTAGCATAACCACCAAGCACATTCATAATTTCTTTTATCAACAATCATCTTAATAGCAATCATACTATCATTCATCCTTTTAATCTCAATAATTTTCTCTTTCAACTCTCTAATAAATATATAGCATAAAATAGTTAATTAAAATTGGCAAATTTTAATATAAAAGTGATAGACTGAAAACTTAAAAAAAAAATAAAATTCTTAATCAATATTTTTAGTTTCTATCGTTTCCTTCCGCTACTTATAATTAGAGAACGACATTTGATATTACACAAAGGTGATCCTCATTCTTTGGTCATTCTCACCCTAAAAGCTTAATCATTGAGAGACAGATCAAGTTATATTAACTTCGCATCAAGAAAAATTATTACGTGCGGTATTCGGATGCATCCAGACGTGCCACGCTACTCAATAAATAGTGCATTGAGTGATATGGTTCATCTTGATTGACCTCCAAATGCGTCCAGATCCGCACATAATAATCTCTCTCGCACCAAACGTTGTATACTAAACTAACAATATGTTCAAAGTAAAGGTCAATGACAAGGAAGGTGGGACTAAAGGCAAATAATAATTCTCCTTTTTTTATTTTAAAAAAAAAAAGGTTCCTTTCATAATTATGAAACATAGCTTTGTTATATTGCTTTTTATTGGAAGGATGATGTCCTTTAGAGCAGTGACAACACAAATTAGAATAATGAAATCAAATAATTGTTAAATTTACTTCACAAAACTTTCTTTCATTAAACTATTTAAATAAATAACTCAATCAACTAACACGTTGCAAGGTAAAATGGAAACTTTGCTCGAGTCATTTTTGGATTGACATGACTGCCTTAATTTAATGGTTATTTACTTTTAACTTATCTTTTTTTTTTTTCATTATTTATCTCTTATTATGCTTGAAAATATGTTGTGTGATATGCATAGATTATTATTTTTTATATGAAATATATATTTTTTTGTCCATATTTAATTTATTTTTTCTACTTATCATGTCCATGCTAAGAAAAAAAATCAGGTCATGATATGTAGGGGTAGAATCAACCTTAATTTTTAAGGGGTACAAATTTAAAAGTAACTGTTGGGATCGTCTCGCATCCAGTGGGCCCCACAGAAGAACTTGCCCAAGGAACATCAAGCCGCACTCACTCAGGCCCACAAACAGTGGAGGGAAATGGAGGATCCCGTCAACTTGTCACTCACCTCGGCGAAGAAAGGAAACCATCAAAACAACTCGCCCTCGCCTGACGACAAGGGCCTTCAAAAAACACCAACCCAAGAAGCCCTCGGCTTGATTTACTGTAACCAACCAATCAGTAAGTTCATCTTCTCCACAGCCTCAATTTACTCACCTTCTCTATGTGATCGAAGGTCCATCACATATCTTTTTTCCCTTCATTCTTACATAGGTTTCAAGCTATTCGAAAGACTTGTCTGGTAACAGAGTCAGAGTATTATTCTCGTACAAATTTGAATACAATAATAACCTTATTTTAATTATGTTCAACTTAATCATATATATAAATATTTAATTGTAATTTATCAACAGATACACGAGCTGCTACTTTGAAGATTGAGATTTTGTTTGAGATAGCTTACGTATTACTTTTTAAAGTAATTTTTTGGTATAAAAATTTTTAAATTAAAAATTTGCCTTAAAAAATCATTTTAGAGAGCAGTAAAAAAGCTGACCCAAATGATACTTGATGCTTAATTTGGGACTATTTTTTAAAATAATTTTATTAGTATAAAAAAAATTCAACTAAAAGTTTTTTGTAATAAAAAATTGATTTAATAAACAGTTAAAACACCGAGCCAATCAAAGCCTGGAGCTTCGGAAAAAAACCGTCCACTAATCCCACTTTCAAACCGTTTCGCCAAGAAAAACAAGCTACCACTTTTTAAGCTTCACTTTTTCATTTATCTTAAAAATTCTTTCTACACTCCCCTGCCCCTATGCGGCTAAGCCTATTAGCCTTCCTCAGCCCAGCCTATTTTATTATACACCCGGTACACAACGATACATAGCGTCTATATAAAAGAAAAAAAAAATAATGTAGTGCGTCCTGATTCGCCTCCGGACAATCTCTGATGACCATATAGAATAATGTCTCGCGAGAATGAGACTTCATTGTAGGAGCACATAGCCAAACAAGAGAATTTACACAACTCCCATTGGTCTATTGGTTGAGAGCTTAGGCTTCCAACTAAGAGGTCCAAGGTTCGAGTCCATGTGTATGCGTTATGTGTGTGAGTTTGCCTTAAATGGCCTAAATGTCCCAAAAAAAAAACAAGAGAATTTTAAATCCAAATTATTTTGATAATTTCTAATTTTTTTAAAAAATGAATTATATGTAAATTTTAAATTGCCTGAGATAATATTTATATTTATTTAATCAAATACCCAAAACTCTGTGCTCAATAACCTTTTTTTGGCAATCTATTTATTTAATTTTCGCTTGCGTGATTACTCAATTCATAGATACTTCCTCTCAAAAAATAAAAAAATAAAAAGATCTATCGATATATAGATTTTTAATAAGGTATGTTTTATAAAGTAATCCAGAGATAGATATTTAAAAGAGACGGATTTTGATATAAAATAAACACTGATGAATTCCTTAAATAATATGTTTGTTATAGTTTTTTTATCGGATTTATGTACCCTACCGAAGAGTAATAATAAGGCACATAAAATTATTTGCATTATTGCATATATTTCCTTTTATTTTTTTTTTGCACAAAAAAAAGTGAGAAAGGAGTAAAAAAAATAAATTAAAAACAAACATCTCGAAAATCTAATAATACAGATATTAAATTTACAAGAAATTCGATATGTAAACAAAAATAAAATAAAAACCTACTTTATTTTGCCTTCGCGTGAATTTATTTACCACAATTACATAGTGAAAGGTTCTGTTATTCCGTCGGAGAACGATACCACGGCCAGCGACTCCTCCCTCTGAAACCGCCGCTGATGCTTAGCAATAAACTCTTCTATCGTGCGCCGAAAATGCTCCGCATCTTCCTCTCCCTCCGAATCCTCTCCATCGTGCGCCACTTCCCCTTTTCTTCCGCGCGATATAACCGCCGTCCCCGATCGCCGGAGCTCCGGCTCCTCCCGAACTCGCTCTAATTTCTCCGATTGGCTCCGCCTAAAAGAACTAATCTCAACGCATACCTTCTTTTCCTCAAACTCATCTTCTTCAATCGGTTCCAAATTAGGAGGCGAAGGGTAAGGCACCTCACAGGAGTTGAATTCGGATGAAATGAACTCAGAGGAGGATGAGAGCTGGCCGGATTTGGCAAAGAGGAGGAGAATAATAGTGTTTCCGACGAGAAAGACGAAGCTAGGGCTGACGAGTATGGCGGATGCGCGACGGAATAGATCGCCGGGGTTGCTCGGAGGTATCGGAATATAGAAGGAAGAGTAGGAGAAGAGGAGAAGGGCGACGGTGGCTCCGATGTAGCTGAAGAGTCGACGGAATTGTTGAAGGTGGAAGCGCCGGGCTGCGGTTTGTTTATCAGATTCCATTGACGGGGAGAAATTTTGGTGAGCGGTGATGAATGGGGCGGAAGTTGAATTGTTCAAGGTGGGCTGCGAGGGAACGGTTTTTATATATTAAAGAAGATAACTTTGGAATAAAACTTAATATTTTATTAAAAAAATTGTCTTTCAAACTATTTTAATTTTTAAATCACAAATATTTTTCTTAGACATTTAGTTCAATTAAAGCTTCATTTAGGACAGCTTTCTTACTACTTCTTAAAACGACTTTCTAGTACAAAATTTTGAAAGCCATTTTAAGAAGCAATAAAAAAATCGTCCCAAATAAAACATATATCAAACTCAAACATATAGCACAACCTCTTAGTTGGTAAATAAAACTTCTGAGCAACAGATTAAGATTGCCTGCATACAATTATATTTTTTATTTTAGTATTAATTTTTTTTATTTTTTCTCTCTTCCTAAAAAGTTATTTAATAAAAATTATTTTTTTAGCTAAATTTATTAATATATGGTAGCTGAAATAAAATAAATGTCCCACCTTTCTCACTATTTTGCTTTTGATGTCATGATCATAATTTAATTTGCTTACTATTTTTGTATGCTTTCTTGCTAAATTTTCAGAAATTTTTCTATAATAAAAAGTTATTTCTTATAACCAAATTTAATAGCATGCATTAATTGTAACAAAATAGTTATTAGATTTTTTTTTTAAATAATATATTTATAATATTCATAATTGCTTAAAAATTCACTTTCCCCATAAAAGTTTTACCACAATGACGCGTAAGTCTAAAAAAAACTCTTTACATTCACAATAGCTCTAAAAAAATTATATTTTTTATATAATATTTCTAAAAAAAATTTATTTTTTATAATGATTTTATAATTATCTTTACAAAATATTACATCCATACCGAATAGAGCTTTATGGTCGATTGAGATAGTTTTTAACAATTTTTTTTAATTTCTAAATTGCTTTCAAATTCAATTTGGTTGCAATGTTTTATTTACTTGAAATTTCTTTAATGGGAAATAGGTATTTTACAATGAATTATGATGTGATAGTTATAACCAAAGTTATTATATGATTTTAAGAGATCTAATTTTCTTATAAGAATTCTATATCTATATATTCTTCTTTTTTTGTGAGGATATCAACAACTCATCTAATTTTATTATTTTCAATTAAGATTTTAACTCCCAATATTTTACTTTAATTAAAAATCATTTTTAATTACAAATTACGCATCTTCTTAGTTATTTTCTAATAACGAAGAAGATAAAGTGACGATTTATTATCATCATTTAAAAAATTTCTTTTAATTAACCAACAAAAAATATCGGTTAATCTTTGGCTTCCACCTAATCTTCTAAGGGCATCTCCAACCGACCTCCAAACGCTTGAATGGAGCTCCCGGCCAGCTCCAACCGAACTGCAAAATTTCCGCTATATGGCTGCGGGTGAACAGTGGGACGCCAATATTGGCGTTGCACTGTTCATCTCCGCCATTTTTACCACTCTACCGAACTTGTCGCGAGAAAAAAAAGAGGCGACGGTTAACTGCAAAAGGGTGAAAAACGCGTTCCATTGGAGATGAAATCACAGCATTTTGTAGTTTCCGGCATTTTGGAGTGAAAAATGAGATTTTCGGTTGGAGATGATCTAAGGCCATTTTCATATCTTATTTTAGATAGAATTAAAGTAAGTGTTAACTTAAATATTGAAAAATAAACTTTTTAGGTATTTTAAAAAAATTTCTTTTGCCAAATCCCATTTCAATTCTGTTATTAGTCAAATTCAAAATTTTTTAAAATCCTACCATTGATAACATTTAATGAATTTGAGTACTTACCTCTCTAATAAATTTTAAATGCTATAATCCTTAATCAAATGGCTAAATAGAATATCAGAATTTACCAAAATTTAGGGGTGTCAATTCGGGTCGATGGGTCGGGTTCGACCCGAACCCGAGTTGACCCGAATCTAAATGGGACAACCCGAACCCGACCCGTTTTTACAAACGGGTCAGACATTTCAACCCGGACCCGACCCGACGGGTTGCCGGGTTGACCCGACCCGACACGCGCGACCCGGCAACGGGCGAAGGCAGCGCGGCAGCGTTGACCCGACAACCCGCCGGGTCAACCCGAACCCGACCCGTTTTATCAAACGAGTCGAATCTGCAAACCCGAACCGTTTATCAAACAGGTCGGGTCCGGGTCGAATTTTCGCGTCGTGTCACCCCTACCAAAATTTTACAGCTATAGCCTATACTGTTAAGCACTCTTCTAAATTTTACCAATTTTGAACTAAAAGGATTTAGTAAGGCTACATTTGAGACGATTCATTTATTAATTGATAGAAAAGTAGTGAGTCATGCAAATTTATTTGGTAATATATAACAGGAAAGAGGACAACAATTAGGATGAGAGAGAGAGAGAGAGAGATGACTAGATAGATAATAACACTGTATAAAAAATTAAAAATAGATAATTTTCTTATAACATACGGAAAGCTATACATTATAATATGAATGATTTTAAATAATTTAATTTTTAACTAAAAAAGGTGAAAAATAAAGAGCTTTTTTTATTAAATTACAATGGTCTAACAATTTATAAATTTTGCCTTTTCGCTAACAAGATAGAGCAGTAGTTGATTTGCAGTAAAGTCTTCTTGATTTCCTAAGTCTTACATTCCAACATAATTTGCATTCCAATCAGCAAATACTGTTGAATTAGACCGTCCACTTCTTGTTGAATAAACTTAATTAAATACGAGCTTTTTACTAACACTTACATGTCAAGTGGACTTGTTGCTCACAAAGTCCAAGTCACGAAAAGCTGCTGCTTTAAGAAGCAGTAAGAAAGCCTTCTCAAATAAAGTTTTAATTTTTTATATTAAAAAATTATTTTAAGAAACAGTAAATAAAGAGTCCCAAATGAAGCCTAAATTCAAATAATATGAAGTATAATTTTGAGAAACTAATACTTGAAGTGAACATCTCAATGACCCAACTACAAATAAGCACAAACCAAGTAGTTTAATAAAATTTTCTTGAAATTATTTGAAGGATCAAATAATCTTTGAATTTTACATGTTTATGAATTTTGAGATCATTAAAGTACATAAATGCTAAAAATAAAGTTGATGATCAAGGGAATCAATATAGATTGTTCAATAAAGTTTTTGTAGATTTTGGCTAAATTTATGGAAAATGGTATTTTAGAAAATTATAAATAGAGCTATATTCTCCATATGAATGAGAAGATTGGCCTATGAACTTAAACCTAGGATTGAGCTTGCATAGAACTTCTATTCAACATTCATTGTTGATGATCATTATCAGTAATCACCATCATCGTCTAACTACTATCATCCGACCATCATCACATGTCATCAACCGTGATCTAACAACAACCTCTCAGCTATTATAGTCCATTAATCTTCGTCGATCACCATTATCTTATTGCCATTGCCCTGAATGCCATCATTCATCCAATGTCCCTGGCCATTATAACCTTATTGTGAAAGCCAAACTTATATCATCTAATCTCTAGCATCACTCTCCTCTACTTCTCAAACAAACATTACAATAGTTATAAAAGAATAGCTTGAGTTTACTTTTTTCTAATCTCATCTTCTCCAATTGAAGGAAAGAGTATATCTCTAAAAATTTAATTATATTGTTGTTCATTTGTTTTGGGTCGAGCTTCATGATTTTTTTTTTCTCTTCCTAAGTTGTTCACATAAAAACTCTAGTATCCCATGCATTCCTATGTTGTATATATTTTAAACAAGATCTTTCTGCGAAGCTATGGTCTTAAATTATCGTTCTATTATTATGAATTTTCTAGCTTACAACAGTTTGACGTAATATGTGAGAATTTTTTTTATCATTCCAAAAGAACTTGCCCAATAGCTGACAACAAATATTGTAACATCCATCGTCAAATCCAAGTGATTTTCTGTAAATAATCCTCAATTCTAATTTAAATGCTACTTATGAGTCTTAGAATGTTAAACATAGTAGAAAGTAACCAATGTTTGAAATTAAAAAAGTGAAAATCTAAGCTTGATGTTTTGTGGATGCCGTAGCGCAAGAGGATACGAAGTCTTGGCACCGATCTCTTGAGAAAATTGACAAATAAATAGGTTTGGGTGAATGTCGTGGCATCGAGAAGCTCCGTCGTGGTGCTTGGTCTAAGGTGAGAATATTCAGGGGCATCTAGAAGAATCTCTAGAGCTCTACAAAGCGTCGACGCCAAGATACTCGGGCACCGTGGCACTAGTTCAAAATGGTGAAAACTTTTAATATTAAAACATCTTAACTCATTTGCTAAACTCACTCGCAACTCAGGCTTGCCGAAGAAGGGAGGAGGAAAGGAAAAAAAAAAAAAGAGAAAGGGAAGGAATTTGAAGGCCAATGTCCGAGATTCGTCCGCCAGGTCAATTCATAAAATTGTAGAGCTTCAAGTAGACTCCTAAACCCTGTTCTTTGATTTAATTCCAATAAATTTATTAAAAGTTATGAAAAAAATATATTTTTCACAAGTTTTACAAAGCTTTCACCATATGATTTCGAGTATCTTATTGTGCTCTTTATTATCGACATTTTGGCTGCATGCAATTGAGTTTTCAACAATTGGTTTTTTCCATACAAATTTCAAAATATATTATTGAATTGAGATTTTTTTTTGGCAATAATAGTAATTACATAAAAGTCTTGAAATGTTATATCCATCTAAAAGAATAAATTGAAAAAGAAAAATTCAGTGAGTAATCTATTTTACAAGCACCATAGCATTTCACTAACAATTCTTGCATCATCTAAATATTTCATTAAATGCATAATTTATTCACTATTGCATTGCATTTTTGCATTATATGGTGTTTGGGATGTTGTATTTTAAAAGATGGAAAAGTGCACCATTTGTTATGTTATAAAGGGCTCTAAATGTGCTCTTCTAATCCCATCTACCTCATGCAGATGTGAGGGGGCTCTAGCACCACTTGCTGGAAGCA